TATCAATGAATTCAATGTTAAAATCAATTGATTGTAAAATTCCAGGCTGTATTGCTGCCGCCATTGCTACACCAGCGATTCCCGTAGCTGGCATCACGGGGGTCACAACAAGGTGATACTCTGTACAGACTGTAGAATCTTCTTCAAGAAATACGGCAAACTACCTCCAATAGAGGACGAACGCAAACCACCGGCGTACATGTTCAAAGCAGAGTTCAAGGACCTTGCAGAGGACGAGGGTTGTTGGAACAACGGGAAACTGTTGCGGAGTCGACGAAATATGCCTGTTGTGTCGACGACTTTGAGATCTGGACGAAATAAGATGTCCAGCCCTGTTGAATCAGGTATGTGAAGTGGAGTCCATCTGTTCCCCACTGTTTTTCCCTTTGTTACTGGGAATCAAGGGTGATGCCCAGCCCTGTCAAATCAGGTAAAGTGTGTGAAGTGGAGTCCATCTGTTCCCCCCTTTTTTCCCTTTGTTACTTGGGAATCAAGGGTGATGCCCAGCACTGTTGAATCAGTCAATAAATCATTACTTTTATCAAAGTGATTATACTCTTTCCCTCTACAGTAAATACGCCGCGACAGTCCCCAGTCCCCGTACCTCGTCGTCCAACAAGAATCAGTATCGGTAAACCAGCGTCTCCCTCTGATGGCAGTTCAAGTAGCACTGGTAGCAGCGTGAACAAGGACAAAAATAGAAAGGTAATCGTCATCACTRACGTCATCACACTCGTCATTGTGACGTCATCGTTGTCTATCATTTTTATCATTATTGTGACGCCATTATTACCGTGACGTCATTATTATCCATATTGATCATCTCATTGTTAAAATTTTAATTTTTATTCCAGAATAAATCAAAGAAGAATAAGCTGAAGCGTCCAATCGAGTCCTCCGAGAACGGTTCCACDATCACAAAACGAAAGAAAGGTCAAGAATCAGACGACGAGGCTCTAGAGGAGGGTAGCGACACYAGCAGCGCAACCGGCGGTCGCGACAGTGTGGTTCCCGACTACGACGCGCGAAGTGAATGCAGTAACACAACGAAYAACGACGACAACCTAAGCACACGRTCGAACTCRCCCCTAGTCCTTCCAATTATGGAATCTCTCCCGGCTAAATTCAAACGCGTRGGRCCTGGTGATGAAAAYCGRAGCTGCGCAAGAACTGATGTGGTATTTGTTCATCCGGAGAAACCGAAAGTCAAGGAAACGTCGAAACCTGCGGAAAGTAGTTCCGTTAGTAGCTCAGTCGCGAAATCAGAGGTAAGTCAAAAGTGCAACGAAATGGTGCAAAACTATACAAAAGTTTTAAACATTTCTTTCTTTTCAACTCAGGCTTCTGAGAGCTTCTCATCAACGACAAGTCGAGAACCACATACTGTGTCCCGTCAATCACCCAAGACTACACCAGCAACTGTCACTTCACACTACGAGTCAGCATTACGYAATATGATGGCCGGTGAAGGCGGSTATCCAATGTATCCACCCAATGCACCAGCAATTCTCGCCCCGGGGGTTAGTATACCCGGGTATCCGGTACCGGAGGGTGCTATAGACTATCGTATGTTACAGTATATGTACCCTACCGGGGTTATTCCCGAGAGAGGTGACAATGTAGCTAAGTTTGCGGAGGGATTCGAGCAATGGTACGCYCCATATCGTAACATGGCACAGGTGCAAGGCGGTCATTACGTACCGTATCAACTACTGGGGCGTGGGATCGAGCARGGCGCACTAGCGYCCAGGACTCCTCAGGCCCATGAGGCCATGATGAAAAACGCTGCCGGTGGTGGTCGACTGGTACTTGATCCTGTAACYGGGCTTCCTGTGCAATTGGGTAATCATCATTCTCATTCGCACATGCATACGCACTTTCACATCCATCCGCACGAACAGCAACAGATGCAACTACAAGCCGCTGCWGCAGCTGCCGCGGCATCAGCAAACATGGACCGCGCTGCCTACCTACAGGCCCAAGCCCAGGCCCACGCGGCACAGACACATCCGGGAATCGCCGCATTGAGAAATCAACAGTTACTATGGCAGCATCCTGAGCTAATGCAACTGCACGCCGCTGGGCTGTCACCCGTTGAGGAGCATGCGCAYGGTGCGTCRATTCACGGACTCGGGTCCACTCCTYTGGACCGGCAATTGCAGCAACAGTTGTTGATCAACCAGCATTCGAAGTATCACCATTCAGCCGCTTTKCAGCAGCAATTGTTACAAGAGGAGAATTATATGARACATTTACGGTATCATCAAGACATGCAACTAAAACAGAGATTAGAGGATGCGGCCAGCGGTAGTGACCCATTCGGTGGTGTRTTCAGGAAAGACCACAGAAACTTRCAGAGYCCCTCGCAGCTAGAAAATGTCGTGAAGAAGAACCTGGAGAGTGGGTCGAGTACCTTCGTCTCCCCCAGTAAGAAACCACCGGTTACTATAGATCTATCAAATGACTAAATATTTATATCCTTATATAAAWTTCTATTTTAAACTAGATGATACCCACGACATCCCATAATCCTTTGCCATCGTCAGCATTTCGAGTTTACMCAAYTCAGCCMCTGAACGTTCCAACTTAAACTTTTAATCGTTTAGAGCATTGTAAATCTTTTCTTTCCTTATTTTTTCGATTTTCAATTTATATATTTTGTGTATCTATACTTTGTGACAGTTCTTCCACGCCGTACTTAATGCCGCRAAGGATCACGGGATRCTGTGGGGTTTGTATTAACATTAAGGGGGAGGTAAACTAAAATTTCTTAAACATTTAGATAACAATTAGAGTTTTTCCACTGTAAATGATTGCTTAAAGGTCGGTCTRTGACCATATAAATATGAGAAAAACATACTCAATATTTAATTTGGGTCCAAAGATAATTTATTTTGGCAAACGTAAGAATCAAATTATGTTAAACTTCGAAGTGGCTCGGGTGGATTGTTTGTGGAAAGAGTTATCGTCATAAACTCGTGAAATAAAGTGTCAAAGCCAAGTTTGATACACCAAGGCGGCACAGAAAAACGTTTAAAAATATTTAAAAAAGTGTAGAACGCTATCGTGTATTCCACGGGCTYTTGGAAAGCATTTCATCGAAATTGTTTGTGATTGTGTCCTTATTTCTTTATATTTTTTGTGGTTTGTTGCAGGCATAATACCATGTATTTTGTAGCAAATTTTGTTTATTATTCGTTTTTTGTATTTATTTTCATCAAGCATGTTTGTCTACTAAGTTTTGTTCACCTAATTTGGATTTTTTACGGTCTTTTATCTGTTTTTGTTGTATATCTTTGGTTCTATTTCATGGTTGTATTTTTTTTTCGATTATCGTTTTGTTTTGTATGTTTTTCCTTTATTTTCGTACTCGTTCACGTTTCTCTTCTCGCATCACTCGAGCCATGAATACAGCCAACCATCTCAAACGAATGAAAACTTTCCTTCCACTGAACACAATCCAACTCTAGCTGATCGAAACGCAACTCCATACGCAAGCTAAAAGCAATGTCAAGTACTAGATTAGTTTCTCTAAACCTGTGAAACAGAAAGTACACCTTAGCTCACTTTAAATGACTATGGTCAACCGTCATCCAATGCGGTCATGTTTCAGATTTTTCGCAAAGGAAAATGAAGTGACTTCAAATATCCATTCGCAATCCGTTTCCATCCATCGTCAAATCTTACAATATCTCCATTCATAGAGCATAAAGGGATACTAAAGAGYTGTGTTTTATTGCGATGTATTTTAATTTGCAAACTTAAGCAAAAGCTCGCAAGGGATGCCGGTTGAACATCGTCCTTTAACGGCTTTGTTTCATGGGTTTAATGACTTATCAAAACAGCCTAAAAAACTTACCCTACTTCAAAAAATCTATCCCACATTTCATAAAATAGTATTCTTGTAAATAGAAATATTTCAAAGTTAGTAAACATAGATTATATATATAAATAAATACCTACGGAAATATGGAAAAATTTTGAAAACATAGTTAATAACGTTATTACTTTTTTGTAAATATTCCTTGTTACTTTGATCATTCCTGGCGTTTCATCCATTTAAGATATTTAAGATCTTTCCTTTAGTCATTTTGTAACTTTTTTAGATGGATTTTCGCTATCTTTGTTGAGTATTTTGTTTTATACTTCGGACGGACGTAGGTTAARAGGCTACGCGCTCGTGCGCTCGACTTTTTCTCATTTCATAGTGTACATATGTTGCCAGTGTGAAAGAAATAATAATAAAGATTCCAAAAATTACTAAACGTCTTTCTCTTTTTATTTTATCTTGCTTTTTGTTTGATTGTTTGTTTGTTTTTTCAATGACGTCATGCTTGTTTTGCCGAAGTGCATCATGGTATTGGTAAAAGTATCACATAATGCGTCTCACGATGACGTCATCAAGTGACCATGTTGACTTTACTAGACTAAGCTTGAAGAAGACGGACTCTTCTCGCGTTGGCTTGTCCGACGATTGCGTCTTTTGACTATATGTTGCTGTGTGTGTTTACGAAAGACATTTCGTGAATGACGGCCGGCCGAGGAGCCGAAGCCTCTCTAGTGTTGTTGCCAACAGTTCGATTGAAACGGCAGAAACAACAGAATCTTTTCATGATAACTTTCACATTCTCTCGGTAAATATCATTAAAAATAACGGCTACGAAGACGTTGTAGACAGAGCTCATGTCCTCTACAAATTTCCAGGCCAATGCAAAGTCTGTAGTTGAATTTACATAGAAATGGACGAAACCACAGGCTATGCTGAAGTAGAGCAAGASCACAATYACCAMGGCCATTTGTAAAACCCTTTTGTTTTGTTGCTCTCTTCTTCTTCTCGTAAGGTCTGTAGTGACACCTGGCGTCTTATGCTTGTAGAGTTTTATGACAATTAATGTATATGTTATTGTAATAACAAGCGCTGGAAAGAATACAGTCATACTTAGAATGGAATATTCGTAGATTACTGCACGGCGCTCATTTCTACGTGCAGAGCACCATGTTATTCCATAGTAAGCAACAGTTCTATAAACATAGAAGTAAGGASAATTACACAGCCCTGAGAGAATCCAAATTCCTGGTATRATAAACTTCATCTTGCTCTGGAAAATCCTCCTTAATGGGTGCGCCACCGCATAGTAACGATCGATAGCTATGGCGACGCAACAAAACGTCGAAACGCTAAGAAACATGTTATCCACAAACCATTTCAATTTACATATAGCATTACCAAAGTCWCCTTCAAATGGCCAAAMAAAGTMATGGTTTATTGCAATCGCTTTGTAAAGACTCTTAGAGAAGGATAGCAGAAGGTCACTGAAAGCCATGCTGGCCATTAGGTAATTGGTGGTAGTTTTCAATCGATTGTCCTTGTACACCATCCAAACGATAAGGAAGTTCCCAATGACGCCAAGAACAAACTGTGCTGAGAAARCTACTGTCCATAACAGCTTATTTGACGTGAAAGGCMAAATACTATAGTAGCTTGACGTGTTGGAAGTAGTCATAGTAGCCATTTCAGTTGCTTGCCAAAGAGAAAATGTGGGAACTTTGTGTACGTTCAGCTCACTATATSATCACAAATGCACTTCATTAATTCTAATAAAACCCCGCTGGGCGTTTGGTAGCCACGTATACATTAATTAATTTAGATTTAGCATAATATACTGCAAACCTTATACAAGTACAGATTTTTTGTTATTAAAATTAAACGCAAAGCTTCGACGGCCAGACAGTTACAGCCTGTCAATTGTCCTGATTTCATGCCGCCTAGAGAAATACTGCGGGTTAGTTTTTCATCAATTCTTTTGATTGATAGATCTATATATGAAAAGTAGAAATTATTAAAAAGTGTTGACTTCAATTGAAAGCGTCAAGCAGTGACAAACAGAGGAGTTTTTATAAATTAAATTTAGAATCACGATGACATCTAATCTACACCATGGTGAAATATACAGTAAAAAATCTTAGAGCTCATAATATCAAGAAAATTATAAAAATATATCTACACTCGTTTGCGAAAAAAAATGATTTATACATATGTATTTTGTAAATTTATTGTTTCAATTTCAATAAAAGCCATCGTTTTCTTTTATTTTCATTGTAAGACTACAAAAAACATATATATCTAAAAAAAATCAATTTKTTTGCAAAGGAGTGTATATTATATATATATTTTGACGCAATAATGTTAATTTTCTCTGTGGATTATTCAAATTGTACCATTAACTTGCTATTTATTTTTCCATAACCGTGTTTCTTGAACTACGAATTCAAAACTTTCCCTCCTTTCACTTAAGGCGYGTTTACACTTGCGATTTTTGCATCGCGATCTCGCGACCATCGCCTGAGTTTCGAAATTTGGCTGCAACTTTGCAACAATCGCAGGGCTGTTTACACGTACTATTTCAGTTGCGCAATAGCAAAGTGRCGATTATCACGCTGCAAAAACCGCAAGAGTAAATGGGCCTTTAGAGACCCACGACTCAAAGTGAATGATCGTTGCGTAGCACGTTTCAATTTCATCTTCCTCGCCATTTTCTAGTGAATATTCTGTTTTTATCTAAAAGACCTTTGGCTCATCACAGCTCTTACCCTCCCATCCCCTGTCACACACACACTTTACAAAACTCCATCGTCTCTGTAAGTCCATCAACTGTTTCTTTGGTAAACTATGTTGAGGCTCAGGATTGAATTTAAACCGACATCTGCCGTGTGAGGAACAATATTGCATTGAACACTCTTGTGCTACATTCGATAAAGTACGGACTAAAGGACCAAAGAATTCGTCTATGTAGTTCCGTAGCTGGATGCAGAATTCTTCACTTTGGTCAGAGGAGGACCCCCAGATGATTACCCCGGATGTGCCAAGCTCGGCTGATTGGGTAACTGTAGCGAACATGTCTTCCTAAAATGGACAAAACTTGTTAGTGTCTTTTACTCAGGCTACTAACTGCTGGTTAATACGGCAAACTCGTCCGCAAAAGAACAATGCTTCCACCATCTTGAAATTGTAACTCCTAAAGGATTTAAAAACTTCTCAGCTAATGTCAAGTTAATATAATACGATATAATAATCGATTAGTTGACTTAGCAACTACGAAATGTGTTCTAAGGCACAACATAGTGATTCGGGTCTCACTTTTCAAGATGGCGGATGAATTGTTCTCCGAAACTCCTGATGCATGTATCCCTGTGTTTGGAAACGAGGTTGACCTGGGAATTAAAACATTTACCTTATTTAGGAAGATRTCCGAGTAGCTATATACCACCCTGACGTACGGGAACACAGGAAGAGGGGAGTTTTCCACCATATTGGCTACTCGTACGGCCTCCAGTATATTTCCTCTGGCGTAGTCAAAGGCAAAGGGGTCGGACCTAACCTTAGCATGTAAATAAATTGACGGCAAAATAACCGTACTTGCATTGAAAAGCCACAATAATTGGTTATTAAATTCTCTCGTTTCCTCGCTACAATTTGTGTTGTTCTTGGTGTTATAGCAACGAGGAAAACCATAATAGCCCCATAGTGCTTTGGGGCGCATTTTGCGTCCAAGTTGAATCGAGCTGAGCATGTAATCTTTGGCTGCCTTTTCAAATTGTCTTCTCGCTTCGTTGACTACTTCTGTTCTGTTCCATGACGGGTGTTGAAGTTGGACTATCTTTTCTGACTTTATTCTGTAAAGTGTAAATATAATGAAATTTCAAGAAAATGTTATAAGACTATTCTTTGTTTTCACTATACGTCACGGCGGCCATCTTGGATGAACTTCAACAAAGGATTTCTCATTAGTTGACCCTATTTCGTTATGAGGTCACATATTATATTGTTTTAACGCTAAGGATTATGTCTGCCAGATGGGATCAGAGTGACTGCATATCAAATAAAATGTACATAAGCATTCTTCGATACAAGACATATATCAAAGATCGAATTGTATGTCATTCGTGCGGGTTCCGTGTGATTTTTAGTTTTGGGCTTCCTTTAGCGAATCCATGCCATACATGGAAACAAACAAAATGGCGCATTGTTTAGAAGTGTTTTCKCTATAATATCTGCAAGTTTCAGACGATTTCAAGCTTTAAAAGTYGAGAAAATCGACAAAAACCATTCCTATCGTACTTCCAAATAAGGTAAGATTWCCATATATGGCTGCTAAACGAAGGACAACTTTTGTGGGGCAATTCTTTGATATGTATATCAAAACAGGGATGCATTCAAGTTCTTCTTTCGAAGAGAATGTAAATGGGTCCAAWTTTCCACTGTTTCTTAGCATTYCCCTGATATAAACATACAAGTGACGTAATAACAAAATATGCAGCAATTATGACAATTCCTTAATTCGATATATTTTYGTTTAGTCAAATACTAACCTATAAACAGTCATCACGCCCCAGTTCCTATCGTATATTGGTCTCCAATCCTCCCAGTCGATGACAGCAAGTCCTTGGTGGTCTTTATCAGGAATTCTCWCTTCGATGTCTTTAGCTAGCTTAGCAAGATGAGCATTCAAATCCCCCAGCTATAAAGCAACAAAACACTTACTTTGCGCATGCTCAGATACATATTTTCGATCACCCCCACATGGTTGGAAAAAATCAATCGACTGCACATGCGCATAATTCCATGTACAGATATAGAGTTTTCTTAGCCCACCACTGGAAAAAATCGCGCGCTCTAAACGTTGTAAATTTGATGTAAATATTATGTAAGTGTCCAAAATTCTGTAAATTTAATGGAAATCATTTACATCGAATTTACAGAATTTTGGAACCCAATCTAAAAGGCGCTGCGTTTGCGGAGAATGGTATATAGAGGAAGTGCGGGGCCATGTTTTGACAAGCCACCACATGTGTATTTGTTATGTTACAAGCCTCTAAGCTTGAAAATAAACAATGGATGAACGGAATGGAGCTAAGCCACCAACATCGGGATGTGAAAGAACAAATCGACTGAAGCGGAAGTTCCGTGATAATTACAGATATCCTCTTCAAAAAAATCTATTAAAAACGCTGTTTATCAGGCTACAGACCTGTGGAAGTCCTCCATTAATAGCTTCGTACTTTGTATTATAAAAAGGCCACAGTCCAACGTCTGCGTACAGAATAACCATAAATTCTCCAAACCACTTTTGCTTATTGTTCACCACAATACCATATTCCTCTAAATTCAAGCTAACATTCCATGTGGCTTTACAAGAGAACGTTGGACTATTCCAAACAGGAATGAAAGCCTTATCAGGTAATGGAGGGCCGTCAAAATGAAACAACCAAGTTGGTTGAGTTAGAATCGTGATTATTATGATTTGGAGTTTCATRGCCGACGACTCTTGGGGAAAACTTACAGACTCACGTGAATTTCATGTCAAACTCACATGTGAACAAGATTGACATCAGGTCGAGATCGGAAGAGATCTATTTCAATTAATTATTAAGAACTAATTGTCGGTATCAAAAATTAATCACAATTGTCAGCAAAATATCGAAAGTGAATGCGGTCGACTTGACGATGCTTAACTCCGAGTACTGCTCGGAAAATGGTCGAAATTAGCTCGGTATTCTCCGGAAATTTCCTTTTTCGACATCTTAAGGAAATATTCTTGAACTATTCAAGACATTTTCATGTTTACTAGTACCAGGAATAAAAAAAGAGTAAATCAAAACAAAATAAAAACAACGGGTTTTTTTACCGGTACTATCCGGTGAATTCCCCGCACGCTGATTGGCTGTATCGATTACAGAACATTTGTGATAGGCAAGGATAAATTCCTCTTGGGTTAACCTTAATTTCCCCCCTCTCAGTCTCTATTTGTTTATTTGTTGTTGTTTTTTTTGTAATATTCATTTGCTTAATTTATTACATTTTTTTAATTCTTGGCTTCTTTTCTTTAACGGTTATTTGCTTGGATTTGTGGAAACAAACATGTCAATAATCTCTCCTCTCGASCTAGAACTTGTCAGGAAAAACACGTTAGACTCTTAGACTAGTTGTTAGCCAATTCAAGTTCAAGTGGGCGCTTTCACATTGCTTTCTTTGTTTACTGTAGTGCAGCCAATCCTGTTTGCTCTCATCAAATCGCATTACTCTTTGCTAAATTTCAATTAGAATCTTTTCCTTTCTAAATACGTCAAAGCTTTTAAGTCCGTTTTATATTTTGCTTCACGATGTTTCTTTTGTACTGAGTCATGCAGTCTTTTTCTGCTTTAATTTTTTTTGGGCGAAAAGTTTGGCTCGGATATATCATATCTCGACTTTGTTTCCGTTATATTTTCTCAGCAAATGAAACAAATACTTACATAGAGTATTTTTCCATAAGGAAGTAATAAAAGCCTCAATTTTCATTAGATTACGAACCTGAGGAAGCCCGCCATTAACTGCCTCCCCTGTGCAATCAAAAAAAGGCCACAAGCCAAGGTTTGMGTACAGAATATTCATGTATTCCCCATGCCATCTTTGGTCATCATTCACAACAATGCCATACTCTTCCAATTCCAAAAAGACTTCCCATTCAGCTTTACACGTAAAAGTTGGACTATTCCAAACAGGCAAAAACACTCTATCAGGTAATGGAGGGCCGTCATAATGAAAGAACCAAGATGGTTGAATTAAGATAACGAGTTGTAGAATTTGGAAAAGTTTCATGGCCGATAGAGTTGCGCGGAACGTTTTGAACTCTGAATAGAGATTGACTAGCACTGGACGAAAAAAGGTTTAAAGCGCTTTAAAGGTTGTAAATTTGATGTATATGATGTAATTAAGTGTCCAAAATGATGGAAATTTGATTGAAATCATTTTCATAAAATTTACATCATTTTGGACACTTACATCATATTTACATCAAATTTACAAACTTTTAAGTGCACGATTTTTTAATGGACCCTTTCAGATCAGTACCMTGATGCATTTCGCGACATCAAACATGACGTCACAGAAGACTTTTATGATAAAACGCTGTATTTTTGGGGTATTTATCCTTTAGAGTGGCTTATGAAAATAATTGCTTTCCGTTCATGTGAAATGGTCTAGAATGTCAGGTGTGTTTTAGTGGAAAGATGACAAGGCATTCTATAATTAAAACTTCTATATGGACATTAGAGAATGTTCGCCTCGAGCTCGRATAGAACTGGATATTTATCAAGAACCTTTCAAAATCAGGGCTGTATCAGAATCTTCTAAGTTTCTTGATTTCAAAAAGACATGGTCGATTAAGTATAGCTTCGGAATTATATAACCTGAGTACACAAATAGTGTTTACAAATAATTATGGTGTAGTCAATTATAAAACACAACGCGAAATCGAAGTGCCAGTCCGCTGAAATGAACCATCGGCTCTACAGAYRAACGATAAAATTTTGAAAAGATTATACAATRAGATCATTTTTTAGTAATATAATAATGATTTTTAAAGCTTTWTAACTAATTGCATCGCGGTGCCCTATYAAAAAGCAATTTTCACTTAAAATACCTGTGGAATGCCTCCATTAACTGGTGTTTTTCTGTCATAAAAAGGCCATAATCCGGTTTGATTGGAATACARTATATTCATAAACTCCCCAAACCACATGTGTTTGTCATTAGAGACAATTCCATGTTCTTTTARATCCGGTAATTTCACATTCCAGTTCTTTTTGCAAGAGAAAGTTGGTGAGTTCCACACAGGAACGAAGAGTTTGCGCGGAAGACTTGGGCCATAATTAGATGACGTTGAAAAGCGAAAAATACAAGTTAAAGCCAAAAAGATAATTATTTTRAAAGAATTTGTAATATTTAGGAAAGAATGCGTCATTTTTGATCGAAAAACAGAGACATTGACTCAGTACCTGATCATTTACATTTTTCGGAGCTTTCCGGATTTTAGCCGAACAATTTACGAACTCACACGAAAATGTTCGGCTATCTCCGAAGATTTCCCTGACGTATCAACAAGAAATGGTCAACTGAAACAAGGATTGTCTACAAAAGATCAAGGAAATTCACGTATTTTCTCCCAAAATCTCAACAAAATGGAATTTAAGCGAAGAAAGAAGAAAAAGGAGGTTTGTTTTTAGTAACAGGGATCTRTTTTGTACGCTTTTGTCGCTGTAGAGTGGCGAAATTCTTGAATTTGGATAACACGTGTATTGACGTACAAAATGTACTGACTTCAAGTCGTCCGTTTTATTGGATCATATATATTTAGCTTTTCKCCTGTTTTGTGATCTATTTAGAGCGAGGAAGATAATGTTGAACCAACTAAAGAAGAGACAGCCATTGGGAAATATTTAAGGTGGAATTGCCCGACAAAATCTTCGACAATGATGGGAAACAAGGTTGACTACTTTGTAGGTAAGAAATCGATACAACCAGCGTTCATAGAAGGACTTTGGTTTATTATAATCCTTACCGTTTGGCCAACGTATTGGAGAATAAATTTTTCATTATGAAGGCTTAAAATTTCAATATATATAAACTCGCATGTTTTTGAGGGAACTGAGCTTATAATAAGCTTAATGTGAAATTTTTGAATCAGAAACGTCTCGTATTTCTACCATCTAAAATTTCTTTGAAATTCATACCATTTGGGGTATGTGTTCCATTGTTTCTAATAAAAGAATAAATTATTTCTTATAATAAATTTTACAAATGTTTCTTGAAAAATTGAAAAATTCAGATTTAGTTGAGTTTTTCTRTCATTTYAAACTCCTTAACTTGGAGACCTTAAAAATATTATAAAGGGTAAAAATGGCGTAAAGCTTCGAAGTAGCATAGCAATTGTTCACCATGTACTATAGGTTACAAGTCCATCTTACTGGATGGATATGCCCAAACAACCACCAAAGGAAGTGTTTATATGACAATTTCACAAAGCAGTCAGCCATGTGTGGGATTCGCATACAATCAATTATATGTGAAAACTTGTGCAATATTTGTCTGTCACTACACCTTGTTTCAATAAAATGAAGTTATTTTACTACAGACATACTCAATCTGTAGTATTTTGAAGAAGCTACCCAAAGTACTTTTCATAAATTTGCCTCCATATCATCATTATAAAAAATACATAATCATATATAATTGCAAAGATAAATGTAATTTTTGCAGGTATACTAGGTTGCCATGGACAGTTGTGTTTTAGTATTTGACCAAACTTGATTTTGATAATAAAGTTTTAATATCTTTAACGAAATCTTTTATTAAAGCATCAAAAGCAGTAGACTGTCTTATGGATTCTAACTGGGCAAGTGGAAAAAAGAACACGGAGATTATCTTTACAGACAGGGACTCCGTAGTGGATTACTTAGACAGGTAACAGACTATGTGCTCTATGTCATCATTTGACTACATTTACCAGACGTATCTCTATGGGATTCTGGCATTATGTGGTGAAAAAAAACAAATTATGTGGGAAGATTTATGGGGGGTGGGGGAAAAACACAAATTATGTGGAAAAATATTTGGATGTCATTGCTTAAAAACTAAAATATGACTTATTTTATTAGAAAACTCAACTGTTTCAGTTCTGTAATTTTACATGTCATTGCTTGCTCACCAGTTATATAACTTTGATGCAAAGCTACAGCTACTTTTGAAGATGGCACAGGGAACTTTCAATGAAGAACATTGTCTATTCCTACCTCACTATATTTTACTCCTAAAATACAAGTCCTTGTGTCCCAGTAATATCCCTTGACCTTTATGTCTGAGAAAATATCAAATCAACAGAATAGAAGCTTTATTTATGTACATGATAGCAAAAAATTGCTAGATTGCGTACAATACTAATTAAAAATATATATATATATATGTGATAATAATAATAATAATAATAATAACAATAATAAAACTATTGATCGTTTTCACCCATTCCCAGGAGATTCAAAAGATAAAAGACCGGCGGCCATGTTGGAGGAATGAACAATAGAAACTAATGAGAAAACCTTTGTTAAAGTTCCTCCAAGACGGCCGCTGTGACATAAACTGAAAACTAAGAATGACATACATTAACTAATTGGTTAAAAGACTACGATATACAATGTAAGAATTAGACTAATTAGAATAAAAGGACTATGACAATGACAATGTTTATTATCTATTTTCAGGCTTCTAGCTCTTGGCTTTTTCAGTCGTGTCATCAAAATAAAGAAAACTAAGGGAAAAGACAAGGGAAAAGAGAAAGAAAAAGCTGAAGAAGATGAACCCAAAARGAAGAAGAAAGAAAAGAAAGAAAAAACAGATGAAAGTAAAAAAGTAAGAATGCATTGTTTTGTATCAGTATACAACATTGCAAAACTTAGTTTGTGTTTGATGTTTACATATTAGTAATATGTATGTTACTTGCTAGTTTGCCTTCCTMACTATAGTTACTAGCTCTTTATTGTCTTACTTTCCTTTGATAATCTATACACTTATTCATTGTTCTTGATCTGTTATCAATAGACCTCTGAAGCTTTTA